AACACTTTCCGAGAGCACGCGTCATCGACGACAAACGATCGTAAATGGATTGTGTTTGACGGACCCGTTGATGCAGTTTGGATCGAAAATATGAACACCGTGTTGGATGACAATAAAAAGGTAACTATGGTAATTGGGGCGCTCGTGCACCTCTCTGACGCACGTTTAGTACTTGAAAACAGTCACCTAATGATAGCATATATTGTCTTTAGTTGTGCCTGATGAGTGGCGAAATCATCCAAATGAGCTCACGACAGAATATGATTTTTGAACCTCAAGATTTAGAGCAGGCGTCTCCTGCAACAGTCAGTCGGTAAGTTAAACCAACTCTTGCTCTGATTGGTCTATAATATAATGCGTGTTCTGATTGGTCAATAATATAATGCGTGCTCTGATTGGTCAGTAATATAATGCGTGCTCTGACTGGTCAATAATATAATTCGTGCTCTGACTAGTTAATGATATAATGCACGTTCTGATTGGTCAATAATATAATGCGTGTTCTGATTGGTAAAAAATACAACGCGCGTTCTGATTTCTCAACGACAATGAGCGTGCTTATACAAGAGCGTAAAGCAAGTACCCCAAGTCTTTAGTTTTTAAAATGCATTAAGTGCAAGTGGATTGCTGTGATTATCTATTGATTCTCATGTTGATTCGTCTTTTTCGATGTGTTTGTTGCTGGTGTGAAATGTTTCTTTAAACTACATTAACCCATACTGATGATCGTGATTTTGTCCTGTAATATAATACTGATGATAGTGATGAGTATTTTGTCCTGTAATATAATACTGATGATCGTGATGAATATTTTGTCCTGTTAGATGTGGTATGATTTATATGGAGCCAGTAAAGCTTGGTATTGAGCCACTCATAGCAACATGGATGGATAACGAGTTTCCTGCAAATCTCAATCACTCTCCTTACAGGGAATCAATCCAGGTAAAATGAACACTTGATATACTTTATCTTTTTATGAGAGCTGTGTTAAGGCCCGTTTACACTTGCGATTTTTGAAGCGCTATTATCGCGCGACAATCGCCTGAGTTTCGAACATGCTTGAAATTTATTAGCTGCAACTCGCGGCGATTTTCGATTGCCGCGACAATCGCAGGACTGTTCACACGTATGATTTGAGGTGCGCGAGAACATAGTGGCGATTGTCGCGCGATAATGCAAAAGTCGCAAGTGTAAACGGGCCTTAAAAAAGATAATTATGTGTGATAAGGTCGAGATTGCGTTACACGGCGATCCTTATTTGGCAAATTACCTGAGCGATCACGTTTGTAACGCTTGCGATTTACGCAAGTAAACCAGTTCTGCGCCTGATTCGGTCGTGTTTGGTTGTGTTGTTGTTTTCTCTGTGTGTAATGTTTCTCCAGCCACTTATATCAATATGAACCTACAGCAAACCGCAACTACTACATCATTTACAATAGAAAATTTGAACGGCAAAAATTAAGTCGACGCCTTAGTGTTTATTGAATATGAATTCATATTTTTTTTCAGATGATGTTTGACTGGTTGATGCCCGCCTGTATTGACTTTATAACCCGATATTGTCGTGGATTTGTAAAGATGTCTTCCATGCATATGGTTAAAGCTATGCTGACCTTGTATTCTTCATTACTTGATGAACTCAGGTCAGTCTGTGTCATTATAAATTGCTTTTTTTCTTATGACTTCGCTGTGGCCTCGATGATAATAGGCTTCTAAACCTTTTATGTCACTACATGATTTGCAATGCATTGTGGGATCAGTTTCTAGAGAAAGCAAGAGAAATCAACCATGTTCTGCCCCCAAACATATCCTACAATGCATTGTGTATACGGTACATGACGTAAAAGCTCCAGAGGTCTATTCATTGACAAAGGATTTCTCATATCTCAGGGACAAAAACTATTCCATAACCTGGACCCGCTCTAGGGGGTAGTGTGTTAGTGAACGCGGTACCTAGCACCCCAGAAATCAAAATAAGGGACTTTGATATCAAATAACTTACAAAATATAATTGCAGATTCTTTCAGTGAAGCACCTTTTAGCTATGTGCATCATAAGCTCTGTATTTACGACGACACGCTAAAGTCTGGTTCAAACGAGCGTCGAAAATGCACATGCATTAGTTCGCACGTTCAAACTGCAAACGCAATTGCAAAAGATAAAATGAAAAAGTTTAATTTCTTGCTTTTTCKTCACATACCGTAGACGAAATGCATTGTAGGATATCTTTGGGACAAAACATGGTGGATTTCTTTAGTTTTCTACAGAAACTAATCCCACAATGAATTGCAAATCTAGCAMGTGRCRTGGGRTGWGAGTCTGGAGTCCTGAAAGCCACCGCCGTTTGTTTTTTTGTCTTTTYCCTTACTATCTATTGTTCATACCAAAGCTCATTGTCTTTTTAAAATAAAAAGAAATAACTTCTTTCCTTTTCATGCTTGTATATTCATCATCCAATCTCTCCATTCCTCCAACAGAGAATCTCCAAACGATGCAAAGAAARCCAATTCAGATGACGATTCATTTGAAGACGAAGACGAAGAAGAACAAAGTGAACTCGCAAAAGATGAAAAACCRCCAAAATCAGAGGCCGAAGTMTTCCAATGGCTGCAATCATTGTTCTTGTTCTCAGTCTGCTGGTCGATAGGCGGCCATCTYGATAGCGATTCGAGAGAAAAGTTCAGTGATTTTATGAAAGTATTGGCGGCAGGAACAAATAAGCAGCATCCACGGTGCGTAAACAACAACAACAAACAACTCACTCGTGAATATACAAGATTCACGCGATGCTTAAGTATTTTTACGTACATAAGCAACGTTTTTGTTTGTTTTGTATCGTTGTGCGAAAAAAAAAAAGTGCGAAGAACAATGCAAAAACGCTAAGAAAAGTTTGTCACTTTAACAAGTCGTTATCGCGTAGTTTTAATTATTGAATAATAATCCGCCATCTTGAAACTAATATCAATACCATGWTGCATTTCRCTAAAGTAGTCATGACGTCATACAGGGAATGGACAACAAGTTCAATACCAATTCCACTCTATTGTGTATTTGTAGACCCAAGGACCTCAAGCTTCCCAAGACGTACCAGTTCCCTGGGAAGGGATTTATCTATGATTATTTCTTTGACAAATCGACGTTTGGTACATGGCACCCGTGGGAGAAGAATGTGCCTACTACAGAGATAGGTGCAGATTTCAAGGTACGACTATAGTAGTCATGTATCGTTATGGCGCGTTTACACTTGCGATTTTTGCAGTGCTATGGTCGCGCGATAATCGCCGCTAGAATCGCTCTGCAAAAATCGCAAACGGACCTTTATGTACAGTCGTCATGAAAACTGCGCCTCAAACAATGGTGGTAACAGTTTGTTAGCGTAATAAATTACCGATGTAAAAATCAATCGTTATGCAATTCTCTAATAATGTCATTATTTTTTGTACTATTTTAAAATATTGTATGTTGTTTTTCAGCCAAGCGACGTTATTATTGCCACCACCGAGACTGTTCGCCAGGAATATTTCCTGGAATTGATGCTAGCWCAYGAGAAGCCATTGCTCTTTGTTGGTCCAACTGGTACTGGCAAGTCTGCCATAACGAACCACTACATCYTAAGACTTCCATCYGATAGGTATGTTTTCACTAAACAATCAGTTGTACAAACAATCAAATTATCAATCAATCAATCGGGTACTGACACGGTCAATCTTGATATAAAATTACTGGTCAGATTATTGATCCGGTTTGATCAATCAATCAAGCAACCAAACTCCTTAGTGAATTATCATTCCATCTATCAACCAATCTATTATTAAAACAATCAATTAATCATTTTATATATGATTCAAGCTATAAGTCAATCAAACAATTCAATCTGCCACTCAATTCATCAAATAAGTCAATTATTTGATTCATATGGTATATTCTCTACACCCTACTAATGCCTAGCACATCTTGAAGGTACATCGCAAATTTTATGAACTTCTCTGCGCAAACCACAGCTAATCAAACACAAGACCTTATCTTGTCAAAACTAGACAGGTTAGTGAAGATTTTTACTGGGCTAGAGAAAGTTATTTTTTATTTATTTTTTATTTATTTATTTATTTATTTTTTTTTTTTTGGGGGGGGGGGGGGGCTAGAGAAAGTAGTGGTAGTAAATTTTATGATGTGATTGGTTTTAAACAGAGCACTTATATACTTTTCGGACCCGGTTAGTATTGACACCTCGCCAGTACGGTCACTTTACTCGTTAATCCGGCCACTGAAAGAACACTGTTTTTTAAAAAATAAGTGGTCGTAACCAGCGGGGTTCCGCTGTAGAAATAACCGTCAGTTTAAGACTACTGTTCCTCATAATGTGATTTTCAAGTTGATGTTTCATGATGATGGTTGTTAATGGTTAGCGATATTAAATTATTGTGACGGCTGCGAGAGGAAACTACTGACAGCACGAAACTTTATTATTTCCAGGCGAAAGCGTGGTACTTATGGTCCTCCTATCGGTAAAAAGTGCGTAGTGTTTGTAGACGACCTTAATATGCCCGCCAAAGAGAAATATGGTGCCCAGCCCCCCATTGAAGTATTACGTCAGTGGGCAGACCACAGTTACTGGTTTGACAGGTATGTCCTGTTTATGCGTCAGAAACGTTAACATGTTTTAGCGTCATTCCGAGTCTGTTCACTATTATTTTTGATTAAAGGCTTCTTTAAGTTCAAGGAGTATATTTTATATTGTGCAGTGTCTAGGATTTTAAAACAATCCAAAGAGTATTTATCACTACAACTTTTAGATTTCATTAGGTGTTGAATGGAATTATTCGCAATTTAATGACTTTGGTCCTCAATTGATGCGATGACAGCTAAAACATATACTGCTACTGATATACCTCAAATACAGCAATATGCAGAAATTATGACTTTTTGACTCATATTTCAAGTATATCTAAAATATATCACAAATTATGGGGTATCATCGCCAATATTTTTTTCAGAAAGCACTAGTGCTAGGCAACTTCAAAAAAATATTGGCGATGATATTCCATAATTTCTGATATATTTTAGATATACTTGAAATATGAGTCAAAAAGTCATAATTTCTGCATATTGCTGTATATAAACAGCTTTTCAGTTATGGAACTTCATTTGCCAGTTTATTTTCATTAAACATCAAGACATTCATGTGTTGGACGCTATTAGATCCATCTTCACATTCAATCGCTAAAGTCAATCATAAAACATCAAAAACAAAAACCAGCGTTCAATTCATAATACATGTAAATGAAATTTGAAGAAACTCGAGTTAAATCAGTTTTTCATAATTTTTAAAAACAGGTAAAGAAATTCTAGCAAGTGTTCATCTTGTTAAAAGTTATTTGCACGTATCTTCATATTGGAAGTTTTCAARTTTTTATATCTTCCATGWAAATGCCACCACGTCATTCCATAAGAGGACTTGCTTCCCAGATACTTTCCATTCAGATTTGAATAATGACAATTTTTATACCACCAGGCACCGGTATTAGATAAAGCACAATTACCATTACTGTTATCGTTGTCTCCATCTTTTGTACTAAACTTCATGTTGTTGTGATAATATAACGAGTCCCCAGCAGTACCTGAATACGAGCCAACCCTCAGCCTGTACTTGTCTGATTCATCGCCAACACTAAAATTACCATATTTGGCATACTTCCTAGTTCCGTCCCAGTCCTCTAACTCAACGTGCAGATTCGACGCTGTTCTTGCTGTCAGTCGATGGATGTAATCGTTTCCCAACCAAAACTCGCCATTCAGGTTTCCAAAACCTGTTTTGTATTGCTGCCAATTGCGATAAAAATCAACCGATCCATCTTGTCTTCTTTGGAACACAGTCCAGCCCCCACCATCAGTTGTCATGTCACAGTTGACTTGAAATGCAGGCTGCTTGTCGGGTTGAACTGTGTAAACACCGCTAGTTCTCTCTCCTGATTTGTAAAGATCTGMGCAATCTTTTGCATGTAGTACAGTCAAATTCGTACCCGCATATATYCTATGAATGTTATTACCACTCGCGAGGGCTGACGCAGTGCATACAAACACACCCGAATCYGTTTTCTTGACGTTYCTTATAATCAAAGAGCCATCTCTCACTTCATRTYTGCCAGCAGGAAGAAGGGTGTTGTCTTTTCTCCAACTGATKACAGGCTGAGGGTCACCKTTAGCGGTACAGTTCAGCATTACGGTTGAGCCAGGAGGGGCAATATACGACGATGGAGGCTTGACAACAAACACAGGCGGATCGATAACGTATACCACAACTGATCCTTCAGCAGAACCAAGAAGATTTTCAACTTTGCAAGCATATCTCCCCGAATCTTCTTTCTTCGCTTTAATTATAGTCATAACTCCATCTTTCAGAACAAAACGCGGAYCCAGCAGGCTTTTCAACCCAGAATTCCACTGATTACCAATAACCTTAGACCACGTGACTTTTGGCTTAGGGAATCCAGTCGCGTGACACGTAGGTAGATTAATGTTATCACCAATCTTTTCGTAGATTGTTCGTGTGTTTAACGTCAGCCGTGGGCGGAAGTTCACTTGAAGTTTTGCCGTTGCTTTTGTGYTGCCGAGAAGATTAGACGCCTTACACTGATAGATTCCTGAGTCATTGGCAGTCACGTGTTTTATTTCAAGTTTTTCATTGCATCCAGCTTCTGCTTGTTTGTGTTGTAACGTAGCATTGTTTTTACTCCACACGACGGTGGGTCGAGGATAACCACTGGAACAACATTGGAATATGGCGGACTGGCTTTCATTGACGATGAGATGTGTTGGCGAAATGATTGCTGTTGGACGAACTGAGAATGGAACAGGATCTCCCTTTGGCCCTTTCGGTCCTTGTGGTCCAGGCATTCCTCTGGGACCAGGAAGCCCAATCTTTCCCGGAAAACCACGTGGTCCTTGCCGTCCAGTTTTACCCATAAGTCCTTGTGGACCGGGAGGTCCCCGTATCTTATGCTTGGCAGCCTGAATAGCTTTACTGACCTCTTGATGGATTTTCTTTGTTAATATATTAACCAGTAACATATCAGTGTTATTGACGCCAGTTGTAGCATCTCTTACTTTTCTTCTCAAAAGTTCTTCATTTTCCTTTACTTCTTGATTAGTAACGGTTTCCTTTGAATGGTGATCTTTCCCGTGTTGATCTATGTCGTGTTTTGAAGTCATCTTGTCTTGCACCTTCATGTCTCTTGAACACAGCTCGTTTAGCATCAATTCTGTTCGTATGAACACACCACAGCACAACAACAAAGTGACGATCGACAAAGCGATGGCAATCTTGGACACCAAGCAGGAATGGACGATTTTATCTGCCATCCTAGCAAATAGGACAACGCCAAAACGAACTGGAAGACGATTAAATTGACCCTATAT